GTGGGTTTGTGTGTGTGTGTGTGTGTGTGTGTGTGTGTGTTTATGCGTGTGTGTGTATGTGTGTGTGTGTATGCGTGTATGTGTGTGTGTGTGTGTATGTGTGTGGGCATGCGTGTGTATGTATGTGTACACCTGCCAGCTTTTCTTCCTTCCGCGTTTAATTTTTTTACTCAAAAATAAGGGGGGCCCCGAGCCCTCCCTCCCCCTGGGCTCCTCCCCTAGATCCACCACTGGAATTCACATCTGCCATACTCTTCTCTGTACATTTCTATACATACTTTGTTACTGACAAGGAGAATTCATTTAAAAATGAATTCTTGTAGGTTGGCAATCAATTTCTTTACTATCATGAATGAATGACTCAGTAGTATTAATTGTAAGGAGAAATTAGATGCTGGTCACTCTTAGGAAAATTGTCACTACTTACAGATGGCTTCCAGTTGTTGTGAGATGTCATCACGGCTGTTGGGCGATGAGTACACAGAAACTGTGATGGGTTTGTTGCATTCTTCCACCAAATTCAAGTAATGAACCAATACTATTTTTGGATTCTGGAAAATACGAATAAAAAATACACTTAATTGCATTCTAGCACATGCAAACCCCTCCTTTGCCTGGCTCTAAAGTAAAAGTCTCAATTGTAATTTCCATGTATTAACACTTTCACTGCCATGATCTTATTATAAATTTTCAACACTGCTTGCCAAACATTTCAAATCAAGCAAAACTCTTAGGGTCTGTTATTAATGCAAGGCCTAGCCCAAACTGAGGTTTTGCACAAGCAGTGGGCCTCAGGGATTCTCATTAAGACACTTGATTTAAGGAAATAAATGTCATTCCACAAAAAGCTTTCAGCCCTCTTGACTCTGTTCATCAACTGAGTTGAATCGTAAATTGGTCATTGAAAAGAATTAAAAAGCTGACGTTTTGAGCATTATCCTTTTGTCAGAGCAAATGAAGATGGTTTGGAACACTATTTATTAAACAACGTCTATATGTTGTTTGAATAACCCGCCCTTGTTCTTGTTTGAAGATGGGGATGGCAAAGTGTTGACAGACTTGCAACCCCTCCTCCACCCCCCCACCCCAATTTCTCCCCACCCTACCAATACCATGCAGCTTGGATTTGCTACCTGACACCACCCAGCTTTAAGTGGGTTGAGGTAGTTCTTGGTTCCTGTGAGAGCTCTTTCTCTAGTTTGTCGAGTTCAAATTTCAAACTTAATCTGGAAACAGATGATAAGGGGCTGCATTCCAAGGGTAGGGAGTAAGGCTTAACAAGGCAGGGAGGGAGTAAGGCTTAACAAGGCAGGGAGGGAGTAAGGCTTAACAAGGCAGGGAGGGAGTAAGGCTTAACAAGGCAGGGAGGGAGTAAGGCTTAACAAGGCAGGGAGCGTTGCGCCTCAAACAAGGCAGGGAGGGAGTAAGGCTTAACAAGGCAGGGAGGGAGTAAGGCTTAACAAGGCAGGGAGGGAGTAAGGCTTAACAAGGCAGGGAGGGAGTAAGGCTTAACAAGGCAGGGAGGGAGTAAGGCTTAACAAGGCAGGGAGGGAGTAAGGCTTAACAAGGCAGGGAGGGAGTAAGGCTTAACAAGGCAGGGAGGGAGTAAGGCTTAACAAGGCAGGGAGGGAGTAAGGCTTAACAAGGCAGGGAGGGAGTAAGGCTTAACAAGGGTAATGAGGCAGTGGTCAGTGCCCTGGACTCTGGGTCAGACAGCCCAGGTTCAAGTCCTGGCTGGGGCTCGACATTGTGTCCTTAAGCAAGATGCTTCACTCACATTGCTTCATCTTCTCTGTTAGGACGTAAAGCCAGAGGTCCTGTCTCCGGCATCTGTCAGTTAATTTGGTTAGGCAGGGGATGTTAAAGAACCCACTTCACAGGATTACTGTGAGGTGGTCTGACCTGTTGATTAGAAACTGGGGGGGGGAGGGGGCATCTGTAAAATTTCTTCTTTATCAATTGTAAACTGCCGCTGGCAGTCTGGAAAAAGTCCCCCGCACAGTGTTGTAAAGCGCATTACAACATTGCATGGAAATGCACTATAGAAATTGATATTATCATTATTACTAACAATAAAAAGGATAGTTTCTGGTGAATGAAGAAATGAAAATGTGATTTGCAAAGCAACTGAGAAGTACCTGCAGCATCCAGTAACAGCGACGGTGAAATGTCGGCACCAAGGCAGAGTGAGTGTACAATACACTTAAACACTGCAAGGCAAAATAAGCAAATTAAGTTTTAATGAGAGATGTTGTTCCTCTTGTCAGGTGCCTGCGAGTCCCCCCTGAGGAATCAAATCTAAGACCGGTGCTCTGATGCTCTACCACTGAGTCACAGAAACTCTATGGTGAGCAAGACCCATTACAAAGTTCATATATGACACCCATCCTGCACACTGCTAAAATTGGCAATGTCAGTGATCTTTGGATGGAAGGATGACCTTTATTTAAACACGATAAAAATTTAAAGCTACAAGCTTGTGGGGTTGTGTATTTATAATAAAAGACCTAAATCCTAATGTAAATAAAATGTCAAAATATTGACAGATTTGGTAACTAGTGCATTACAAATTATACATTAAAATTATTTTTTACGAGATAAAATCATTACTGAATAGGTAAAATATCATGAAAATATACATAAATAATCATCAATTATATATAAAATCTGCATTTCTACGCTGCGTTGTAGAAACGGAGGTAGTCCTTCTCTATTTCTTTACCAAGCTGAAAATTTACCATCTTTCTTTGCCAATCATAGCAGTATGCAGGACTCATGAAAACTGAATACTCCCATTTTAGATTAATACACTGAGGAGCTGATAACATTAGGTTGATGATGTAATGTAAATTGACCACCATAAATAATTTCAAAGTTGACGTTTCAAGCGTTAGTCTTTTGTTAGAGTGTAGGGGCATCATTTGAAGTAATAGTTACCTCAATTCCGTCGACCTTCAGTCTTGTGTGATCCTCCCTGATTGTATTTCCTGATCTTCTTTTTTTCCATGTGTAACCATCCTTGCGATAATTCTTAACCTAGATGATACATGGAAAGATCAGTGACCACGAAAAAAAAAGAATCAGGCAAAGCTACCACCATGAAATTCAGCTTTGCAAAACTTGAAATTTGCAGTATCAGCATTTCAGCAGATTTAATAACTATTCTAGCCTTTACCTGGTTCTTGACTAAGCATGATGACAAAGATTGAGAATGTAAAAATTTATCAATAAAAGACAGTAGCTTGCTAAAACTGCTCCCTAGTTTTCCACCTTTATGTGGCTAACCTTGCTTCATTTTAATGTGAGTGCTAATTAAAAATCGTACAATTATCAAAATACCATTGAAAATTTTCAGCTGACATTTTCAATTTTTTGAGGGGACTTGACAACATGGTTTAATAGTAACAGATAATTACAGCCCTTTAAATTAATTCCACATTTAAAAATTTCTCAAAGATTTGAGCAAACTTCATAGACATTTTTAGCTGAATAGTTCTTTGTCTCACAAGTGATCTGATAAAACTTTACGGTTTCCACCATAACCTGCCATCTACTATATATACATACATACATACATACATACATACATAAGTTAATTGACCCCTCCTCATAGAGGCTTTTCAGGGCCAACACCCACCCATCCCACCCAGGGGAGGACATCCATCACACAGTAATCTCGTGAGTGGGAAATTAACGTCTCCTACCCCTAACCCTGCAGGAGACTGGGCCTACGGTTTATTCGTCCTTATCCGAGAAGACTAGAATATCTATCCATTTCTTAATTATAGAAAGGTAGCAAATTCTCCTCACTTATTTTAAGACCATGAGTATTGGTCTGGCAGGGGCTCGAGCTCTCGACCTCCTGCACAACACAATCTGGTGCTCTAACCAACTGAGCTAACCAGGAGGCGGTTAAATAATCTCTTATCTACAGTGTACTTCCCAAAAACTCTGATGAAGTCAAAATTACCGTGGCAACATTATAATGGTTTTTTTTCAGGGTTCATGTATGCATTTCAATTGATTACAAATGGAGATGCATGCAGCCTTACCTTGCTTCGATCAAAGAGAAACATTGATCCATTTTCAGGCCTATTGGGAACAAAATTATTATTCCCTCAATCATTTGAGTATGGAGATTAAGGACTTCTAGAAGCTAATAGTTTTCCTCGAACAAAGCCTGATGAAAGCTGTGAACTCAGACAAACAGATAATCTCACAGGAAAATTGATGAGATCACCCATAATATTATGTAGACCAACAAGCAATTTACTTTCATAACTTGACTACAACAAGGTGATTTTTTCTGATCAATGTATTTATTCTTTTTAACTATGACTACTTCACTTTACCTATCAGGAACTGTTCTTGTCACCCAGGTTTCATGGTTGCTAAGGCTTGTTAACAGTGACAAAACCTCCTAAAAGAAGACAATAAAATTATTGAATAATTTCTCTGCCAATAGGTAACAGTCCTGAAATATTGGGTTTTGTTTGTTGTGTTTACATTCAAAATCCATGCATAGATACAGTGTAGTTTAAAACATTTTAACAATAAAATATCAGGAAACAAAACAGACTGGATTTACTTTTTGAGCAAAGACCAGAAATACAGTTTATAAGAACTAGATTTTAGTTAAAATAACGCTTCTGACCGGGGGAGTGATTGGGACTTTCCAGAAACAGGTCCAAGCTTCAAGATTAGTAATCAGACCAATCCATAGGGAAGCCATAACAATTTTTCATTAACTACTCCACTTCATGATCAATAATATTGATTATTGCATTCCGGACAGTTCTATCTTTACATAGTTTCACACTTTTAATTATTAAATTTGATTTTGGAGTAGCCCTGGCTTAATAGTATCTCATAATTATAAAAATGTGTATCACATCATATATCAAGGTGTTTTCCACCTGAAAACTACAATGTTAAAAGTGGGCAAAAGCGATTTAAGAACAGCTTAAAAAATTGCCTATTGGTGAACAAAAGTTAAAAAAATGGAAAAAATAAAATAGCCAAACCCACAGTTGAAGACAGACAAAGAAGTCTCAAATGCTAGTTCTGCCAACTACATTTATATATAATAACAAGGCATAAAGTAGCCAATTATTTGTAGTAAACAAATGCAAAAATTTTGCATAACAAAGATCACAGTTAATTTATTGTATTGTATTACGACTATAGAATAGTTCTAAAAATAAAATTTCATTTTTCATCTGCAAACTGAAAGTTTTAATCAGGTACTTTATAACCCCGAGAAATATGCCGTGCCGAAGAGAAGTATCACTTCTTTTAAATTACAAGCTCAAGAATTTGGTGCAAACAATACATACAATACTATAATCAGAGTTCCAATAATAACATAGATGTAATTCAAAACAGATGACTGCAGGGATCTTTAGCACTCCCACAAGACAACAGGCCAATTAACAATCCAAAAACAATAATCACACGAAAAAAAGATGCTTGCCAATATAGTTCCATTTATCTTAACGTTTTTTTGGCCTGGTCATTTTCTGATGCGATAACTCTAAAATTAGTCTATTTAAACGATTATATATTTAAAATATGCTGCACAGAATTTACAAAATAACTGATAAGACTAAAATTTTGAAATCTATTTATGACTTTCATAAATAATAAATGGATGGCCTGAAAGGAAAACTTAATGAATTAAAATGCAGAAGGAATGTTATTCAGCTTTAGGACTTAACAAACCACTAACAATTCAGCTAAATTCCTTTGAAGAAAGAAGGAAATCCATTTCACGCCGATAGATTTGCTCACACCAATAATAAACGACTAAAGTTAATTTCAGGTTTGGCAAAATTGCCCGGGTGGGCGGGTTAATGGATAAGAAAAGGAGTGAAAGACGTGCAATAAAATATTCATTCACAACAATTTTTAATAGGAAAGGCCTGCAGGCCATTCTTTATATATTTTTTCCTAAAAACGGCTGGAGACAACACTACTGGTTTTCTTAACAAACACATTTCGAAATTTGTCTTCGGTTGAACGCAAAATAAACCAAAGTTGAGATATTAAATAGTCAATCGTCAAACAAAATGTTTGCGTAGGTCACCACAAAAAAAAAACAAGTAGTTTTTCTAACATACAACCATTGTGTAAACCACCAAAGTTTTATCTAAAATTAAACGTTTCGCCAGCTTTTCGAGTAATAATACGCACATAGATAGTTTATGAAAATGATCGGTCAACACCAATGAACTGAGAAAAAATTTTGTCTGAATATCGTCTGAACGTATCTTCCGTTGAGGAGAATATAGCTTAATATTAACATCAGGAGAAAATTTGTTATTTCTGTAGGCAGGGAAAAGCGAACCACACATCTGGACTCGATGTTACTCGATGTTCACATTCTCATCTGTGTAAGAATATCATTTAAAGAATTCAACTATTGGAGAAGAGTAAATATTCGACGTGAAGCTAATAGGTTAACTGTCAAATGTCACGTATGGGTACTCGAACTGTAAAATTATTTAATGCATAATTTGAGGGAAAATTTTATCCAAGTTTTTATAGATCAAACACACTGATGGCAAATCGAAATCGGAACATCGTAAAAGCCCTGTTTCTGGAGATGTAATTCGAAAGCTTTAATATGTCTTGTTAACATTGATTGAAGAACAGAGATAACATTTTAGCAAGATTGAATCAAGCGAAAAGCCTAAACTAAACGGAAACTCGGCGAAAGAATAAACTTTAAGCTACCTCGTTACTGTTCCATTTGTATTTGACGGCCGCGAAGTCATCGGCTTTTTTGATTTTCGCTAATTTGTCAGGAAGCGCGATTTCCGAGGCGTTTGACTGCTCTCTAAGGTCCTGTTCGGCTGTCATTCCAAGATTTCCAAGGAGATTTCGCTGCCAAAATTATCGCCCGGCAAGAGAGCGCAAAGATGTCATCGCTTCGCACACTGCAATCCAGCGGCCAATTTGTGCTCATGCTAGTTGATGGCCTGTCGAAATTAATCCGGCCAAGATTATTGGATGATAACAAGGAGTCATGGAGGAAATCACTTCTTCACTTTGCGGCAGACAACACACCTGCCCGCCGCCATCTCCGTTCCCTACTCTACAGAACGAGCGACGCACAATTGAGCCCGCGAGCAAGTCTCCCACTGCTCTCCTTTATAAACAGAGAATACTTCAGATATCGTACTTAAAGTGTACAAGTAAACTGTCCCACCCTTGCCACTCCTGCAAACCATTAACCCTTTGAGCAGTGGCGGATCCAGGGGGAGGGTCCGGGGGGTTCGGATCCCCCATATCAGACCTGACGCTTACAACTTTGAGACTGAAATTCTTACATCAACGGGATCATATATCACTTTTTAACTGGCTGATTTTTTAATTAATGAGTCCAAGTAAACGGTAAGCGGCCAAGTAATTATAACGTGCAACCATGACTGGTGGGAGGGGGTGTGGGGGAGGAGTAATTTGCCTCTAAAGAGTCCAACAGTCCTTTCTGAGCCAAAGTTTCAGGACCCCCCCAATCAAAAATTCCTGATCCGCCCCTGTTTAGTATGCCCCCCCCCGACACCACGATCTAGAGATTCCATCCAGTTTCTTCAAAAGTTTAACCCCAAACATTTCATCAGACTCTCATAATTTGATGTTAATTCTAAACAGTATTCCATATTTAATACTTTTCTTTCTTCACATTACTTCTTTGCAGTACAGTCATATAATTTTACATTCTCTGATCCAGCTGTACCGGAATGAACTGGTATTTTCTGGGACTTTTGTGATGTACAAATATTGACTATTTTCTTTCATTAGATTGAACACCGTGATGACAAAGTTAGCTCAACTGGTAGAGTGCCGGACTAATGTGCGGGAGGTTGAGGGTTCAAGCCCCAGCTGGACCAACACCCAGGGTCTTAAAATAACTGAGGAGAATGTGCTACCTTTCTATAATATCAAGAAATGGATAGACATTCTAGTCTTCTCAGATAAGGACAAATAAACCGTAGGCCCTGTCTCCTGCAGGGTTAGGGGTAGGAGACATTAATTTCCCACGCAAGAGATTACTGTGTGGTGGACGTCCTCCCCTGGGGTGGGGTGGGTGGGTGTGAGGG